TTTTTATGAGGCAATGTGGTGGAGGAGTTGAGGAAAGCACAGAATGCGTGTTCCTTAGTCAGAGAAGTGAGTTTTTTGTTGATTAGAGTGTTTTCTTTTAATAATGAGTTCAGGGAAGTCTCAGCAAGATTAATGATTTTTTGAATTTGGTCGGTTAAATATTTGAGATGTCCTTCAGTCTGAAAGCGTCCATAGGGATTGTCTGCACAGTATCCCTTCACCTCATCAGAGACCCTATAGGCCTTGTCCAAAAAGGTAGACACGATAGTTGACTCCATGTTGAGCAGTCGAGAGAAAGCACAAGAAGGATGCACAATAAAGTCGCAGAACAAACTGGTGAGTCCAGAAGACCGGAATGTAGCACATTAACACTAGAACGCCGTTCGGCGCGAAGTGATCCGATCGGCGAGAAGCCGATCGGATCACTTCGCGCCGAGGTGAAACAAAGCGCGTGACAGAGAGACCACTAGGGATTGCCAAATACCGAAAGGCCTTTTCAAAACACACTCAGCATTGCATACTTCGACACAATGCTAGAATATCATCAATCCCGTAAAACCAATCTTTTCTGATATAAGGTTTCTACTTCTAGCCATTAGTTTCGGATTAGCAGTAGTAGTATTACATGGGAATTTTCAGTTGGAGTGACTTCCTTTTATAAAAATTCAAAACACAAAACGTGTGTATTCGCCTATAAAGAGAATTTTCGTTCAACTTTTGTCATTCGGTTTGCTTTCAGACTTTTGTCCTATTGGTTGAAAAATTGTAGAGAATGTGGCTTGGCTATAAATTCCTTGCAGCTTTCGATATTAAAGCAAAACAGCCATCGAAAAAACTATAATATCTTGGATACATTTATCCAAATCTTCTTCCTCTCACTCTGCTTTCCTGAAATGGTCTCCATTACGCTGAAATTACTCGTCAGTCGCTTGACAATTGCACTTAAAATTAGCGTATTTCGGGTTTAACTAAGATTCTTCATCTTATTAAATATAAACTCTTGTATTAATAAAACGCTCCATAATTTCTTTATTTCTAATTGCTCTTCGAAAAACTTTAATTTGCATTGATTTAATCTTTTAAATCAATATTGTTTTATAACGAAGAAAGATGACATTTCATTGCTTTGACTTACTTATATTTAAAAATATATTTTATATATTACTATGAAATTAAACAAATTTCAGAGAAATAACTACTGTACTGTATATTTAAGATATCTAAGGCTTATTTGTCAGTTAGTTTCGGTGTTTTTCTCATTCTTTAGATTATTTTAGTGATGATAGTATGGAATAATTCTGAAATACATTGCCCTAAGGGAGATTTCCAATCGCTGTAATTCCTAAAATTGTCAGTGAGAGTAGAGCAACTGTAATGAAAGGTGTGCATTACAAAATGTTTCCGGACCTTTCTTATAAGAGTAATATAAATGTTTTGTTTTTCTGTATCGTGAATCTTTTTCCTGGTGCATACAAAAGCGTTTAAGTACGTATAACGAAGCAAAAATCGATATAAATACGAATAAATTTTTATATTCTCTTTCGTGTGATTTTATTGGTTTATAGCAACGCAACATATCGAAAATCTGCCGATAAGAGAGTGTCTCTCACAAGGTTCTTTATTGGTCCCTATTTAGGTGTTACTAACGTAAAGAAAATCCAACAATCGTCACGATATCAGCCAGTTGGCGAGGCGCGAACCCACTAACAGTGTTCGGTACTTTTATCCACTTGACCACTGGTAGACGTGTCTGATTTGTATGTGACCTAGGATCGTATACAAGATGTGGCATGTTCATAGAGGCCGATAGATGTGTGCAGTGGTGATATTCAGCGGGTTCGCACAGGTTCGGCCGAACCCGTTGTTAACATTTTCAAAGTTTTCCGAACCCGTTGTTAAACACACGTAACATTTCCCAGTGGTTTTGTTTCTTTTAAAAAATATATTAAAATATACGTATTATACTCTGTAACACTACTAAACTAGAGCCTTATACCCCGTTCGCCTTGGTGCAACTTCCATCGACCGTTTCAAACTCGACTGAAACGAGGTCTAATCGCGATCAACTCAAGAGAGTTCTCGAAACTAGGTCGTCATACGAGAGATCCCACAATCCCACGCGCGCGAGAAAATACAAGATGGCTGCGGAACACGTGTCGGGCTATCGACAGCGAAATAAAAAAGATATTGTATTTCGAGAGACGATGATATCTGTCTATTATTATAATAATACCTAATGATAAAATAAATGATTTAGAAAAGTTTTTCTTGAGAAAAAGTCATAGGGAAAGCAAGTTTAACTGCTTTCCCTATGACTTTTTTCTGATTAAAAACAGCCAATTTTTATGTTTATAAAATATTTTGAATGAAAAATGTTAAAATATGTACAAAATAAACCATTTTGAACACTTCTTTTTATTATTTATCAAAAAAATATAGTTCTGGCATAAACAATGTTAAATTTTAACTGACTTAATTTACGAACGCATCTTTTTTATTTATATGGGTATCTTAAGGTCAGTTTTTGCGCTAATGTTCCTAATGCACCATTTGAGCGAAAAAAAAATTGTTAAGAAAAAATTTTCTGTTAGCGAACCCTTTGTTAAATATTTTCGAATATCACCACTGGATGTGTGTATTGTGTCTTTCACTGACAGCAGTGGCCACCCACTCCTGTTGTTTGGATTAGGTGCCAATGCGATATTTTTTCATTAGTGTTTTAATTTTTTCATATTTTAATCATTAATATATTAATAAATGAAATGTTCAATTAAATAATTCGTTGAAAAAAATGTTAACAAATCAAAACTTGTCCATCTTCAACTAGGCGAACGAGTAACCTCGATAAAAAGTCGAATAAGTTCGTGAAGACTATTTGTTGTCTTGCTGAGATTGTTGAAGGAAAACAAGATATAAAAACATTTTATTGTTTCGTTTAGTTTGTAAATGTTTTTATATTTCCTTTTGTTGCCACACGTCTTTTTTTTACTTTTTGTGTGGGCACTATGAGGGATTTTTTTAGCAACCCATTATGAGTTCGGCCAGCCGCACAGTGGTACGGGACTCGATATATTCAGACCAAACATTTCTCGTGTTTTTCAACCCAACCGAATTCGATCCTAGGTCCCCTAGAGCTACAGGCTGCCAGCCTAACCGTTCCATCATAGGACCGTCTCGTTGCCACCCATGAATTCTTTGTCACTCACAAATATATGCTAAGTAAACTTCACGCATCATAACATATGTTAAGATCAAAGATACATTTATTCAGATTTAATAACCACTATTTATTTAGGCCTACACTTTAAAAAAACATCCATTTATCCCAGAATTACTACGATATATTTGGGTGAAATTGTCAAGAAGACGATATGTAAGATAGACCAGCAAAACCAAACTTTATAATCAATAATTCATAATGCTGGATGGCCCACAATTTAATCAACCCGAGTATATTTTTTAATACAGTATTATTGAAAAAATGGTTAAGCAAGTTGAAACAGAAGCGTGATATATTTGGATTAACTGACTTACGTGCCACGCTTTATAGACTACTGTTTTATTTTTCAAATAGAAAAAATTAATTTTAGAAAATTTAATATTTGTTACAATTATTTTCAATTTTAATTAGGAATTTTAGTCTATTTCATTTATGAAAATAATTTAAAATGTAAATTTTAATTATAAAAAAACTTATTTTATCTATAAATGGTATCCGCAGTTGCTTAAAAGTTGACTTTCAGAAAAGAATAATAAAAATTTATTCGTGTTTAAAAATAAAATTTTTAAAATTATGCGTAAACTATATTATCATATTACGTGTAAATTTTCATCTAAATTTTAGATAAAGATAAAAATAAAGAAACATTATCATGGCATTTTATTTAAATCTTAATACACTCGATACATTTGATACTGATATAGTAACTCGTATTTTTCCGTAACTTGTTAATTCGTTAATCTATAATCAAGGCTGACAAAGTTCAGTTTCTGATATAGAAATATCTAAAGCTGTCATGGAGGTTCTCAATCCACCAATAATATTTCCTTTCTTCCTTTTTCCCTCACATTTACCAGCTTGAATCATTTGTCTTTCTGTTAGAACTTCGTCCCACATATTTACGTCCGCAATATCACCAATCCACGCTTGATCAGCTTCGTATTTACCATCAAGATCATCCTGATCCTGCCCGACAACAAACACACCTCCTCCAAAGATAATAGTGCCTCTAGCAATAGTATTATTATTAGTATTGTTATGACATCGATACCCATTCGTGTACACTTGCAAATGCCCATTCGTGTTAAACCAAGATACGCAAAGGTGGTACCACTCACCCACTGTCCATTCTGTATTTGGGCATTGCATTTCCATATAACTTTTTGCGATATTGACACCTACTTTGACGCTTCCATTTTTATTCGAAAGGGACACAGCAAATTCATTGTTGAATCGAGTGGTCGCGTAGGAAAAAATTGTCGAAAATTCTCTTTGAATTGAATGCGGTTTGATCCACGAACAAATCGTAAACTCATTTAGAGATGGAAACTGTTGATTGAGACGAAGACGTGGATAGATTCCGGAGCTGGAGCGAGGAATGTGTATCTTGAGTTGAGAATTCTCTACAAGTACCAAAGAAAGGAGCACACACAACACAGGAAACCACATCTTGTTGTCTCTTCAAAGTTTAAATAACTTATCGTTACATCCTTTTATATATCAGTTAGAGTGCGTGACGTACGATAACATTAGCATCTGAGATTATCGAGGTTAATGTGCAATGTACTTTGAATCATATTATTTCATTTATACAATCGCAGTTTCAATTTTAAGAATCAATTTCGTAATGTTAAAGTAATATTTATTTAATTATGTTTCTTTTGTTATTTTTTAGTTTCCAATACTTTATTTATGTATTTGTGCGGATAAAAGTCTCTATTTAATGGAAAAAATAGAACAAAGACTTAACGAATACCGTACTATAATTACGAAGTCGTGTATAATAATAACAAAATATTCTTCATTGAAATTATTATTTGACTTTTATAACCTAAAGACAAATGCATTTTGGGCCCACCCATTATGCATCTTAAATATACTTTTAAAAAATTGTATTTGGATTATAATCAAAGATGTTTTTAATTTCAAATTGAAAGTTTTAATGAATTTCATTAAGTGTTTAAAAAAATTGAGTTTGACATTTGTTTAAAAAATTCTAAATTGAAATAAGATAACCGAAGTCGTTTTTACAATATTCGAATATCCCTCGCATAAAGGACATCAACACCAGAGTTTATCGAGGTCATTTTAAAATATACTTTGTTATCGTATTATTTAATTGTGCTGCAATTTGAAAAAATTGTAGACATAAATCCCCAATGTCGTCCGTCCTTCTGTTTTTCCTTAATCTCCAGAAGGGAGTTAGATAGATGAAAGTTGAGACCAAATAAGGAAACCTTAGAGGTATGATGCCCCGATTAATTACATACAAATTTACGATTCAAATCGATTCAATTCAAATATTTTCTCGTAAAAGATCTTAGATAGATAAGGAAACTTACCGGCACGACTCCTGTTAATGGAAAAGTATGATATACTGTACAGAGACAAGACACTGTTAATTTCAGGTGGAGAGCATATATTTTTAAATGAAATAAATTAAAAATTGTAGCCCGGCATTGTGACGTTGTAACAATAAATAATTATTCATATCCAAACGATCGCCTTAAATACCCGTACTATAAATCCGCTAATTTTAATAATAAGTAATTTGCTACTAGAGATAGATGTTATCTCTTATCTAAATTAATAATTATAATTTTTATATTATTTAGAGTCATGTGGAAGAAAGGAACTGGCCCGGGTAGGGCTTAGCACCCGCACCCTCCTCTTACAGTGCGGTGAACTTGAGTTTCACGACCAGGACCCCGAGGAAGTCTTCTCATCCAGATGTATTTAAATTTAAATATAACCTTACGCGTTTAATCTAAATGGGTTGTTTAATATATAGAATACTTAAATAATTAGTCGTTCGTTTTATATAATTTGAATTATTAGAAAAAATCTAATAATTCAAATTGACTGCACGGTGTTCGTAGAATAGGTGATAGTTAAGAAGTTTTAGGAAAGACACAGAAAGTCGTTTGAAGTATAGTTCACCGATTGGCCTGATAATGCCGATCGGTTAGATAGAGCTGAGAGGCTTGAGTACCCACTGATAGGCTGGACGACGCCGAGTTGTAGATGGTTACGCCGATTGGCTAAGGAGCCACGTGTAAAGAGACAAACGGCTTTGTTCTTTCGCTTCACCAGTTACTCTTGTTGCTCCGTAGTTAGTGGCTCGTATTTAGCAAAATTGTGTATACAGCTATGGTAGAGTTCTTTGTCAACAGTTTACAGCTGAGCCTGATCACAACGATACACAGTTATTAACACAGTTATGGTCGAGTACCACGCTTTGCTTAACAGCGCGAAGATAGTTTATGAGTAGGCCTACAATAAATACCTCGATGTATAGAGCTTAAGTTGTTGATTCCAGTGATATAACGCTAATAAGGGCCTACTCAATAGTCTAGAGCAGCGATTCCCAACCTGTGGTACGCGTACCCCTAGGGGTACGCGATAGGTCGTTTAGGGGTACAGAAAAAAGTTAGTTATTATGGCAGAAAAAATAATATATTATGTATCACAAACTAATAGTATTAAAAAATTATTAGATAAAAAATATTCCTTGCAACAATCACAACTTTATTATAAATTTTTTCTTTTAGTTTTTTTTTCTTTAATTTAAAGTTACAATATGTAAAATTAACAATACGGTTACTCACAAAATTTCTTAAATGAGGGGTACAATCTAGAGATATGACATGTCACGGGGTACGCAAATGAAAAAAGGTTGGGAACCACTGGTCTAGAGCGAAGACTAGGATCGCGTGGTTTCCGGAAGAGAACAATAGTCCTTGTTCTGATCTCCGTAGACAAAAACGTTAATACTCCGTACGATCGCTCCGGATTGATATAAAGTTTGTTAAGGGCACTTACGTTGTTTCCTGTTAACCCTCTGTACCAACGATAATCCTTAGTTTAACGTTCGGATTTATTAGTAAAAAGCCTCGACTTTCATGGGACCTCAAACATTTGTACAAAAAAGAAAATTGAAGTCAAATTTTGTAATAAACATTTTTACAAACCAACAAAATATACTTTACTGTTTATTTTGTGTAGTACAGTAGAACCTCGATTATCCGACCTAATTGGGGACTGGGGTTGGTCGGATAATTGAAAAGTCGGATAACCGAAAAGTATGAAAAAATCCATTATTAGTGTAGTATATTATTATATCCCATGTAATTAGTATATTAGTATATCGCTATTAACCTATTTTGCGTTGAATTTTCATCGATGTTAAGCCTAACAAAAATTTTTTAAAATAATAATCGTCGCTATTGTANTTGAAAATTTCGCCTTGTCGTGTCGAATAACTTCTAGTAAATTACAACGATGGCATTTATATATGTCCATGAATCCGAGAAACATGATTCAGTATAAGTGAATTCAGGAACTATCCAAAACAGCAGGAGTACAAACAGACAACTTTAGTGTCCTTTGCTGTTGACATTTAAACAGACAAGAGGTATTGATAATTTGTATAATGCCTGCGAGAGTTGAGATGAGAACAACGACAGCGTGACGTAGCATACCGGAAGGAAAGACGAGTTTGGTAGGACAATCGAATTGAAGAATCTCATATCAATTCAGACTTTAATAGATGTAAATTAAACCGTTAATGTGCAGATTACCTAGATACTCTGCAAATTACCTAGGTAATTTGAGAAATTGAACAATTTTCGCAGCTTTAACGGATCACCCTAGTTAATCTGCAGATTAACTAGGTAATGTGCAAAAGGAAAATTCTTTTCCTTTTATGATTGACTTCTAAAATTGTGAAGGGTTGGTAAGGGGCCTTACAGAGTTCAGCTTAGGGCTTCGAAATGCTTAAATCCGACCCTGTGTCCTACACAAAATTACTGGCATTTTAAACTTTAACAAAATATGTTTTAAAATTGAAAGCATAACTTGTTCGTGTAAAGCTGGGCAATCGGAAAACTGCCAATTCTTAACAGTCTAATCCACTCTTTCAGAATTCGGAGCTCATAAATATAACCTATCAATTTCCGAATAATCATCTGTTTTTCCCGTTTTTCGTGTGGGAACAGACGAAAACTTATATTAGGCTCTCGTAAGGCTTTAAAATTGCAATTTGGAACCAACAGTAAGCGTTGCTTTTTCTATCGCTTTTCATCTTTACTGCTGATAATAGACAAGAATGAATCAAACGACCCAGATAGAATAGTTTTGTTTTTAAACACCAGAGGGCGAGCATCCGGTGAAAAATGCGAATTGACTGATTGCCCCTGGAAGTCGGCTTGTTACAAAAACCAGCTTCCCTATCATCAAATGTCACGGCACGCCCCTGAAATACACACAGCCTTCTCAGAACGCGACTTTACATTGATGATAAAATGCGACAAAGCTATTTTTTTTGTGTGTGTGTGTGTGGTTTAAGGCCCTTTACCGCTCAAGATGAGCACAAAAAGGCCCCAACGCGACAAAGCTATTCACAAGTCATACTTGACCTCCAGATTTTTCACTTTTTTGTTACCTGTCGGTTGCATTTTTTCGTTCGAACGACTAATCAATGATTTATTTCATCAGTTAAAAAAAAAAAAAAACACAGTAAAATTTCTATCTTAAAGTAAATTTTAATAGTGCAAATAATGATGATTATTATTATGTATAATATAATATTACGGTATATAATACAAATATATTATACATATAAACAAATTATAATGTGTAATAAATTGACATAAGAGCAATAATAGCACAATTTAATAATTGGCTATTATGTCAATTTTGTTCGTTCTCATTTATATATCCATAAAACTGGTTTTGGGTCTAAATAAAAGTTTTTGCATTCTTATAATAAAATTCATATAGAAAATTATGAAATCGAACTCTAAGTTTATATATCTTTCGATAAAAATAACAATCGATCTCGCCAAGCTCTTGCAAGGTATATATAGACCTTGAGCTCTTGTAGTGATTGCAGTGCCCCTTTTTAAAAGAGTTTTTTTTTTAATTTCATCGACGAGTTACGTAACTTTCCAGGCAAAAAAGTTGAAATTGTGTGTGGCGTCATCTGTTATAAAGTTTTTGATATTATTAATCGTTATATTGATAAAATGGCAAAACGCTTAATTTTGAAGATAAAGATGATTTTTATTATAAAAAATTGTAAATGCTAATAAAGAGTCTTTATTAAGTCGACATGTTACCGTTAAAGCTCGAAATCCGTTAATGTGCACATTACCTAGTTAATCTGCAGATTAACTAGGGTGATCCGTTAAAGCTGCGAAAATTATTCCATTTCTCAAATTACCTAGGTAATATTCAGATAATCTAGGTAATCTGCAAATTACCTACTAGGCACTCGGTAAAGTGAAAATAAGATCTTTGCTGGAACAACAGCAACGTTTCTGTACGCTTAAATTAACATAATGTTTACAATTTTTGTAAAAACTCAGGATTATTTCTTCAGAATTCGAAGTTTGGACTATTTACAAAAAGTCAAAATAACTTTTGAGTCCATCTTTATCCTTTTAACACTACCACAGAAGTAACAGTCTTAAAAATTTTAAGGAGG